CATAATATTTAAGTGTTAATTTTTGTGATGCAATAGGTTACATTCAGTGAATTAAAATAATAATTAACTTTTTTTTTTTTTAAAAAAATTAATGAAAGAAGAGCACCCTTGTAAAAACTGTCCCTATGTTATTTTAAAGAAGTTAAAGGTGTATTGCACCATAAACTTTATAATATAATCACGACATTCATATTTTAATATGTATTTTTAACAAGATGACACAGAAAAAACAATTTTTTTACGAGAATTTTTGAATACACAAGTTGGGGCAGATTTCCTTGTGCTATAATTCCCCATCCCCAAAAATGTCTTCGTAGAATTTTATTTTTTTTAAAATAGTTTTTTATGTGAATTTTTAACCCTCCCTTGTCTCCGACCTAGCACACAAGTACGCCTAACTAGTGTCTTCGTACCCTTCCTCAAGCGTAACTGGGAGGGACTTCTAGTGAGCTTGGCTTAACCATCCAAACTGAGTAGCTGGTAAAGCATTTGTTAGGATATCTGCAAGCTGTTCTGCGGTAGCCACGTGAGTCATGACGAACCTCCAGCCGTTTAGCCAACACTTTCTCCCTCACAAAATGCACATCAAGCTTTATATGCTTAGTACACTGGGGAAACACTAACTGGCAGCTACGCATCTGCACTAACATTACCAAACCAATTCACGGGAGAGCAAGTGTAGCATGTGTTTTAAGATATCTAAGAATCCTTTTACAGCCTGCCAGTGAAGAACAGTAGGAGCATGCAATTGCAAGAACTAGCTCAATTTATTCACAGAAAAGGCGATATGAGGCAAGGTCATGGTAAGATAGTGAAGTGATCCAATAGTAGATTTTCAAAGTATAGGGGGCACAAACTGTTCACTAGCCTATGATAATTTCGGATTACTACACATGGGATTCTCAAGTATATACTTATGCTAAGTCAAGTATAAACCCGAATGATCTCTCACAACTTCAAATCCTAAAAAATATTTCAAATAACTGAGAGACGTCAAGGCAAACTGAGAATTGAGAGCACACACCAACTGAAGAAATTGAAACTGATCGGTCCAGTAATGAGTATATCATCCACATAATCTCGAGCAATGTTAAACAGCTTGGATTATATTTTATAGGCATCGGCCGATGAGTGAAATAACTATCAACACAATCAATTTATAGGCTCAACCCGAAAACAACTCGGGCCATTGGAAGCAACTTAATTAGTTAATGTTGCTAATGGCCACTATAACTCTTGGATGGTCATTAATGTACTAGCCCAATTATCTTAGTTTGACACATTGTTGGATGATATAGGCCCAAGTTTTGGTAACCTAAACTAATCTATATATACCCATTTTCATCTTGTGTTGGAAACATGTGTGCTTTGTGAATGTTGAAGAGAGAAACTGTGGCTGCTTCCTTCGTGCCTTGTCTTCTCTCGACCTTTGTGACCCCTTTTGCAAACACCACTGTCTTGTGTTCCTTGTGGGTATATTACAAGTGGAAATCAAAGAGTTATATTAGTAGTTGTCGGTTGAAGTAATTGTTTGATTGTGTTTGATATTGGTAAGTTGAATTGAGCCCGGATTTCACCAAATCGAAGGTCAATTTCTCTACAATTGGTATCAGAGCTACGTTGGTGGTGGGTTTTCGACAAAAAAAAAAAAAAAGACTTGAAAGTCCAGAAACGAAGCAGAAACCAGCTGAAAGCCTGAAACAAACTGTCCAATTGAAAATCAAAGTTGTCGGATTTGTTTTGCTATTTTTTGCCAAACCACTTACCTGTTGGACGAATGGAGACCATCGGCATGTTCAGCAGACCGAGGCACACTTGTTTGGGTAGCACGTGATCAGCGATGGCGGCACGTGGCAGACAGCGTATGAAACTCCGGCTACCGCGCGTGAAGGTACGTGAGTGATTTTTCGGTGACGGTTTCTTTAGACAGTTTTCTCCAGATGACGAGACGGACCCTGTGGTGGTGTTTGTTTTTAGTTTTGAGTGCTACGGTGAAATTTAGACAATTTTGCCCTTGCACGTTTGGGATTTGACTCTTGCTCGATTTGTTGCTGCAATTCCTGAAAACATTAGGGTGAATAATGGTGGCCCTAAAGTGGTAAATTTGCATCTCTCATTATTTACAGATTCATATTGGTCCGCTCTTGTATATTGGCTTATCCCAAATTTAAATTCCCGCATTAGTGCGTCATCGTGTGAGGTAACAATAGGATTTGGGTTACCGTGTGTGGTAACCATTGCTTGTGTTAGAAATTTAGGAATTATTTTCCATATTTGAATTGTTGGATTTAACTGTAAGTTGATAATTGCTTTTGTGTTTAATTGCCTATATTGTGTGAAAATTTGAATTTATTTTTGTTGACATACCTTCGTGTTACATTGATTATTCCATTAGAATACCTAGACTTGACTCGTTTGATCATTTCCTTGATCTAAGATCTTGAGTCGTACGAAACCCTAAGAATCTAGAACTGTGTAAATTGTTGTCTTATGATCATTTTGTGTGACCTATTTGTGCATTTATGTTGTTCTATTTTTAAAATTATATTCACATTTCGAAGTTAAAATTTTCAATTGAAAAGTGGATTTTAAAATTTGGCAATAAAAGATGATGGAGATTTTAGTTCAACAAAAGGTTTCAAAAGCCATAGATGGAAAATTTCCTAAAAATTTGACAGAAGCACAAAAAGAATAATATGATGAACTTGTTTACATTTAAATTATTTTACATCTATCTGACACAGTTATGAGAAAAGTTGGAAAACTTAATTCTACAAAAGAATTTTGGCAAAAGTTGGAGGACTTATATTTGCTTAAATCTACTTCTAATAAGTTGTACTTTCTTGAAAGATTTTTTAGTTTTAAAATGAATCCTTCGAAGGATCTAGATTACAATTTGGATATTTTCAACAAACTTGTTGAAAATATCGTTAACTATGATGAAAAAGTGTCTGAAACGTATAAGGCCATTATTTTGTTTAATTCTATACCTAATTCATATAGAGATGTTAAGAATGCAATTAAGTATGGTAGAGTCACTTTAACACCTGAGATAGTCATATATTTCCTTATATGTAAGGAGATTGAGATTAAGACTGAAAAAGAAAATAAGAGAATTGGTGGTTTGTGCCGTGGATGTAGAGTGTGACATTTGGATCACGAGTGGAGATGTGATCAAATGTTGGAATCCTTTATCTGTGTAGAGACCCTGTACATGTGGAGTGTGAGAGAGGCATTTCTATCATTTCTGTTAAGTGAAGACCCATTATCTACTTAGGTTGAGAGGAGTGATGTGGTGATAGAGGATTATCCCAAGGACTTATGATCTGTAGAAGTCTACTAGTTAGATATGGGTTGAGTGATTAGTTTAGTAAGCATGGTGGGGCATGTTGTGAGATATGTATTCTTGAGGTGTGAGCAACACAGAATGTGATACGATAAGTATGGTGAGATCTTTTCGTGGACTCATTTATGCATTTGTTACATATGTGTTGACCGTGTGTTTGATTAACTTGGTGTTAAATCTGTTGTTCTGTTTGAACGTGTCTTTTCTAAAAGATCCGTGTTATCCTCCATGATATCTCCATCGCATATTTATTTACTTTTGATTGATTGCTGTGATTATTTGCTTCTATTTGGGTATTTGTTCTTGACTTAGCCCTGGTGAGTACATGGAGCAGATATGGTATGTGTTTTGAGTCCAAAACACAACGTAAGGTTTGTGATTCCAATTTTATTGGTTGTCTTCATTATGTGGAGATTTGTTAGGTTTTGATACCTAATAAATCCCAAGCAATGATGTTAAACAGTTTGGATTATATTTCATAGGCCTCGGTCGATGAGTGAAATAAATATCAACATAATCAATTTATAGACTCAACTCGAAAACAACTTGGGTAATTGGAAGCAACTTAATTAGTTAATGTTGATATGGCCACTATAACTCTTAGATGGTCCTTTTAATATGCAGACCCAATTACCTTAGTTTTGACCCATTTTTTGGATAATATTGGCGCAAGTCTTGGTTTTCTAAACTAACCTATATATACCCATTTTCTTCTTGTGTTGGAAACGTGTGTGCTTTGTGAATGTTGAAGAGAGAAACTGTAGTTGCTTCTTTCTTCTCCTTCGTGCCTTGTCTTCTCTTTACCTTTGTGGCCCCTTTTTGCAAACACCACGGTCTTGTGTTCTTGGGTATATTAGAAGTGGCAACCAAAGAGTTATAGTAGTAGTTGTGGGTTAGAATAATTGTTTGATTGTGTTTGATATTAGTAAGTTGAACTGAGTCCGGATTTCACCAAATCAAAGGTAGAAATCTGTACAAAGACGAAGAGAGATTTACCAGCAGAAGAAGAAGAAATCATCTTTGGAGTTTGAGATACCCCTAGATATCAATTTGTTGAATATCTTAACCATTAGTAACAGCAAAAGTCAAAGTTACTCTAATGGTAGAAGGCTTGATGATAGGACTAAAGGTCTTAAAGTCGTCACCTCTAGGAGTTGGCGTTGCTTGAAATTCCTTTGCAAGAAGCCTGAACTTGTATCTTTCTATAGACCTTCAAGATTATACTTGACTGTGAAAACCTATTTGTCCAACCACATGCATGTTATCAGAATTAGAAACAAGATTCCAAGTGTTGTTATGCTGCAAAGCATGATACTAAACATGATTTTTTTTCCACTGAGGATCAAGTAAAGCCTCATCTGCAGATATTGGTTCAATAGAAAGAGTAATGATGGAAACAGGAGGAGAAGATTATACAACAGAACATCTAACTGGAGAAGAGACTAGTGCATGGCTAGACTCTACAGTACTAGATCCTCCAAATGTGTCCATGGTAGGACATAACCAATTAGGTAAAGGAATAAATTGATCAAATATGATCACCAGTAGCAACAACAAGTGGGCAAGCAAAACCAAGTGCAAACGGAAACAAGTTTTCATTAAATATCACATTTTAAGCTATAAGAACCTTGTCATTTGAGTGAAAACACTAACAACCCCTATGTATGTTACTGTATCCCAAGAAAACACATTGAGATGTATGTAAATCCAACCTTATGTCTATTGTATTGCCTAAGAAAGAGGTAACAAGCACATCCAAAAACTTTGAAATGCTTGTAATTTATCTTTCTATTATTTGGAAGAGTAAGAGTAGGCAATCTGTTGATAAGGAACATTGAGGTAGAAAAAGCATCCCACCAAAACTAAAAGGTATACTTTGAGCTAACAAGGTCAGACCTACCTATACAATGTACCAATGTGTCATTTTTTATCTACCATATTGTTGGTGTGCCGTGTGTGTGGACAAGGACGTCTGTATAAGATGTTAGGTAATTGCCTCAAAAGTAAAAGGGAAGAAGAAGAAAGGCAGGTTTGGTGAGGATATATATATTTATCAACACACAAAGTTGGAGAATTTTTCTTTGTAATACTTTGGATTGGATTGGTGAGTGAAAATCTATATGATTGTAACAATTTTTCATATAGTGAAAAGTTTTGACGGTCTGTTTAATTTGTGCATTATATTCCTTTTTTCTTGTTTGCTAATATTCTCCTGGACAACAAAAAATCCAACGGGTAAATAAAAATAAAGGAAATTGACTTAAAATTTCCTAACAAGTGGTATCAGAGCGTCA